AAGTATAATAATTTATCGGATCGTTTAAAAACATTAATTTTTTTATACATATATTTTCAATTAAATCTGTTGTGCTTATTGTAGTTTCAAAAATGGATCAAATTGACTATTTCAATCAATTGGACTAAAAATTAGTTGGATTATTCGTATGGACAATTCAATAAATACGTGGAGTAAGGAATTAGTCAAATAAATTGAATAAAAATCAATGACATAAGACATGTTTGAACTAGTTTGTTAAAATTGAATGAAAAATAATCTTTCAGTAAAAAACATTGAATGAAAAATCATGACACATTACACGTTTTAACTAGTTTTTTTCAAAGAAAAAATTGTTTTTTCTATTATTTTATTTTTATAACTTTTTCTTAATATGCTTTTAAATAAAAGACTCATACGTGAAATTTTTACATGGATTATTATTCTTATTTAGTTATTTGTCATAAAATTTTCGTTTTATAATATATCTTATATAAGAAATTCACTTATATAAAATAAACTTATTTTATTTAATAACTCATTTTTTATATTAAATTTTAATAATTTAATTATTAAATTAAAAATTCTTAATAAATAAATTGAATTTGTAAATTCTATAAAATTAAAAAGTTATATAATATTTTATTATATAAATTTAATTTAACTCATTTTGTTTAGATAAACGAATTAAAAAAAAAAAAAAGAACAGCCAGAGACGACAAAGATCTTATGGAAAACATCAATATCCCCTTCACAACTCACAAATCGATAACATCAACACTTTCAACGTCCCAAATTATTTTTTAATTCTTGGTATTATCCTCATACAATTCCTCCTCCCATAATAATAATAATAAAATGCATAAATAAATAAAACAAAGTACTACAGATATTGGTCTTCCCTGGAAGCTAACCGGCCCGCGAAGCAAAACGACAGACCAATCAAAGAGAAGCCGTGAGCTTTGTACGGGTGACAGTCGGTGACGTGAGATAAACTTCTCCAACCCATAAAATCCAAAAACGCGAAAGGCGTGAGCATCCGGAAAATCAGGTTGGGTCGCTTTAGTGTGGCCGTTCCTAGATTAACAATGACACGTGTTTAGTCTCTCTTCGATGGGGCTTTCGATATTATGCGCCGCCGGGCCCACACCCTTTTTCTGCTTTTACTTCTATTCAAATTTGGCTTCTATTTTTTATTTCAAACAGTAAAACTACATTCTTCGATAACAACTTAACCCGAAAAATTTGATAAAAAATATTATTTTTAGGTGGGTTTATGCATGTTTTATGGGTAAATTGAGTTAAAATTTTATATTGAGCGAGTTCAGTTTTAAATTTTTAAATCGCTAGAAACCGAACTCAATAAAAAATGAGATAAATTTTGATTTTTATTACTTCTGTATAAATAAACAATAATGATCTAAATTCAAAAGTTTTTATTTTAAGTATAATATAACTACCAATTTGTAACTTATTTTTTTTTTCTGTTTCTCATAACCTAGATGTTTCTTTTGTCTTCCCCTTCCTCATTCAACTTCTCAACACACTAGTCCATTTTTAGAGTGTTCTTTTTTGTTTATTTCTTTGTCTTTCTTTTCCATCTTCCTATCTCCATTTTAAATACAACTAGTGCAGTTGTAATTTCTTATGGGTTTTGTAATCTAATTTTAGATTTTTTTTTCATGTAACAGTTATGAATTTTGTTATATTTTGTTTTTGCTTCTTTATTTTGTGAATGTTTCATCTACAAATCTACTTACACCATCTATTGTCACTTTCATTCTATTTTTGTATTACACAAAGTCACAAGATGATAACAGTACCATGCAAAATAGTGGAGTTACTCTTCAGGCTCAATCTATGCATTTTTCTAGTAGAAATGGTAAAAATCCTGGTGTTGCATCTACAAGTTACTATGCAGTCATTGAAGACATTTGGGAGATCAATTATGGTACATTTAAAGTTCCTGTTTTTAAGTGCAAGTGGGTTTATATTAACATTGGTGTGAACCGATGAAATGGGATTTACAATGGTAGACCTTAGCAAGGTGGGTCATAAGGATGAACCTTTCATCATGGCAAACCAAGCAACACAAGTATTTTATGTCAAAGATCCTGTTGATGAAAGGTGGTCTGTGGTTCTACAAGGTAGAGGTGTACACAATCTTGACGATTCAACAGTTGAGTTTGGGGAGAGTCTTTCTTTCTCAACACGTATGCCTACTAACAACGAAGAAATTGAACAAGATGACGTTCATGCCACTCGTAATGACCATGATGAAGGCATATGGGAAAACATTATTATCTAATTACCACATTAAGTTATGTATATCTTGATGTATACTTTAATATTCTATTTATCATATTTTTTCATGCTTTTAATTAGTTTTATTACTTATTTTGCAATTGACCTTGGTTTTTATTTTTGTTAAAACAGATACATGGATAATCAATTTGATCCACAAGACTCCCCTGCTCCTCAAGGCTCCCCTGCTCCTCAAGGCTCCCCTCCTCCTCAAGGCTCCCCTCCTCCTCAAGGCTCCGCTGCTCCTACACCCCCTACTTCACAGACTATATCTAAGAAAAAGAGGAAGCCGACACGAATGAAAAGCTTAGCCTGAAAGTGCATAAATGGGGCAAAAATATCACTTGACGTGAATCCCACTACTAGGATAGTGTCAAGGCCAAACAAAGTCCAATTTGCAAGTTATCTGGGAACCCTTGCTCGAGACAAGATTAGTATTTTAGTTCCTTCTTGGAAAGAAGTTCCATAAACTACTAAAAATATGATTTGGAATGATATATTGGTATTTCCATTATCTTTACATAATTTGACAACATAATGATTATTTTTAATGTTATTATTAATAATTGTTTAATCTAAAATTGTTTTGTAGGAGTTCTATGACATTAGTGATACTACAGTATTAAAGAGTAAAATTCTTTCAGCTGTTGCTACAAAATTTTGGCAACACAAGTCTTATCTTACCAGGGAATGGGTACATGGGAAACACAAGGGTAAAAGCCCATGTGATGAGTATAATATTGACCCTGAACAATGGGAGAATTCAAAGAAATTCGGAATGACCCTTCTTGGAAGGTAAATTGTGTTTATTTTTTTGTAAAATCTTTATTAAATTTGTATTTTTATTTCACTTTTAATTATCATTTTATTAAATTATTGCAGCTTGTAAGAAAAAAAGTGCAGGATATCCAAAAACTCAATAGTGCACCCCACCTATTGTCTCATGGGGGTTATGAGCTACTTGTGAGAAATTATATGAAAAGAGAACTTAAACGACTTAAGGAGGTAGCAATACAATCTGGTGCTAGTGAGGATGTAGTGATTGATCCTCCACCTCTTCCTCCACGCCATAGGTTGTGGAACATGGCTCGCACAAAAAGCTCTAGAGAGATGATTTCTGAGTCTGCTACTCAAATTGCACAAAAAATTGTAAGTATTTTCTTATAAAATTAATCTTTTATGTATTTGAAGATTTATTGTAGATTTGTTTTATTTACGGATATATTATAAACAAAATTTGTTTATTGTAGAATGTGTTGGAGGAGAAAGAATCACAAGGTTCATTTATTCCTGAAGGCCGTCAGGATATATTAAATACTGCCCTTGGACGACCAGAGCATCCTGGACGTGTTCATACAGCTGGGGTTGGTGTTAATATTGGTAATTACTTTGGACCATTATCACAGGGGTCATCCTTATCTAGATTGAGCCCACAGGATCTTTAGGCCCTCACACAACCAATATATGAACGGGGCACACAAACTTTAAAGGAAAAGTACCCGAATATGAGTACTGCACAGTCATAGGATGTTCCTCCAGTTGAGGTAGATCATGCTATCCTGGCCCGTGTTAGCACTAAAGGCAGTTGTCCAACTCCTTCAACTGCTACTGCTGCTGGTAATCCCTTTGGAGATGAGGGTCATGCTGATATCTCCAATAAGTGTGAGTTATGCATTGAGGGGATTCCTCCGCTTGTAGTAGGCATTGGTAGAGTTTGTGAGGGGAGTTCAACTATACACAACGTGCCTTTGACAAATGATTTGGTCAAGGTGGTCATTGAGGAAGTTCGAGATTCTAATGCTCGAGTTCCCATACCTACTTCAGAGGTTCAGCTGGTCGAGCAAGCCTTACAAACTTTCATTGCATGGCCGAGACATCTTGTCAAACCTATTTCAACCACGGTATATATTTTTTCCTATTTTTTCATTAATACTAACTTTAATTACAAATACATATTGTTTATTCATATTAATGTTTGATGTTTGATTTATTCTATAGGATATTCATCGAGCAAATAAACGAGTTCCATCTATTGATAGGTCGGAACCCAATAGTGATCCTATCACTGGGTTACGTGAGGCATCAAAGGCCTTACTTTATGGACAACCATTTCAGGTGACTTGACTAAATAATATAAAGACTATTTAACATATTTATATTTTAAGTTTGCTACTTACCCAAGTTCCCAATTTCAGGTGATATGTCCTGCAAGTCTATTTGGGATCAACGATGATGATTTTACGTTGTATATTTCATTTCAAGATATATATGAATTATTACAACGTGAAGCAATGCTTAACATCTCAATTATACAATTATGGATGTTGTAGGTACAAAATTGTTACTTCCATAATCTATTTAATTATGATTTCCTTCACTATTATTTTTTTCTTTTGTATGTATTTTAGATATTTGAATCGTAAAATTGAAGAACTCAATCATGGTGACTTGTATGCATTTCTTGAGCCCCAATCAATTCAAAAATTCGGGAATAAAAAAGCCGAGTCTCAAAATTATATCATTGAAAGGTTATGAAATTCACTAAAGCAAATTTACTTTGCTCCTTATGTTGATCAGTAAGTGCATCTTTGTGAACTCCATTTAATTTATGTATTTATGTATCTATTGTATAACTAATTGTGCCGAAATGTAGAAATCATTGGCAGTTATTGGTTCTCTATCCGGCAAAGAATGTTGCTATTTGGTTTTGTACTTTGCATCGTAAGCCAAATGTTCAAATCAAAAATTTAATTAAAAGGTAAAATTTAGTTTGTAACAGGTTTTTATTTTATGCTCTTTGTTATAAATTTTAACCATGTAACTTACATCCATTTATTTTCTTAGTGTTATGGTTGTCTATAATGTCATGGGGGGTAGATCTACAGCACAACCAAAGAACCTAGATTGGATTTATCCCATGGTAATTGATTTGTAACCTCAATATGCCTAAAATGTTTTTTTATTAGCTTAAATTAAAAATTACTTATACAACTGAATCTAATTTTCATTTTAGAGTAATCAACAACAAGGAGGTTACGAATGTGGATATTATGTGATGAATTGGATGTTAAACATAATTGAAGGGGAAGTAACAAATGATTGGATGGAGGTAATGTAATTCTTTTACTTTTACTATCATTAATTAATTTATTTACATGATTTTTATGTAACTAATATATTATACTGTATGTTATAGCTTTTTGATGATGTTGCACCATTGCCGGAAACCAAATTGGAAGACATTCGAAGTCAATGGGCAACCTTCTTTTTTGAAAAATTTAGAAATAGAGCATGATTTTTAGTTTAATTAGGATTGTTTACAGTATATCTCCAAAACAATTTTCTGCCTTTATTTTTTAGTTTATTTTCTTTTGAAATAGTAGTTTATTATTAGTAAAGGCACCTAAACCTGCCCATTTTTAGAGCAACAAAAAAATGGTGTTGATTGTGCATCGTGTATATCCTCCTATACTCAAGTGGATACTCTTAATTGCTCTGCGCAGCCTCTCATCATCACTATCATATTTCATCTTTTTCAATTTTCGAGAATGCATGTATATTTCCATTATATAAATCCACTGGAATAAGGCAGAATTAAGAGGGGTGAGAATAAGTTGAGTACGTTTATATTATCATCATGTTTGCAATCTGATTGTGTTAATTTGCTTATTAGTGTTGTTGCTGCTGCTAAAATTTAGGAAACTATCCTATGTATGTGAGGTGAGGGGTGAGAATAAGTTGAGTACATTTACTGTTGTTGCAACGTGTGAGGTGAGGTGTCTCAGAAAGTACAATGCACACAATTCCAATGGACAAGGCTTTCTCCAAATGCAATGTGTGAGGTGAGGTGTCTCAGAAAGTATAATGCCCAACAGTAAGGTTGTTGCTTTGTTAAGGTCACAGGTTCAAGTATTGTGCACTAGGTTGCCCTTTTAATATTATCTTGTGCATTTATATAGAATAATGAAATCATTCTTTTTACCTTGAAAGATAATGTACTATCCGCAGCAACAACAAGCTAAGAACATGCATGCTTTAAGGATGCACAACCTACTCAGACGCATATGATGATGCATGGAGGCAATGGAACTGGTGATTCAGGACTTGTTCTTTCAATTGAGACGCATATGATGATGCATGGAGACAAGGGTGAAATCATAAAAATAACACACACTCACTCAATTAGATTTAGAAATTGTACTATGAATGACTTTTGAGAGTCTGTTAAGAGCCATTGTTTTTGTTTTGGCTCTTGGTTCAATGTTTTCATTATTTTGTAATGATTTTATTTTGGGAAATGCTTCTATATAGCAGCTGGCAGAGCACTTAGAAATGGTTCAACAAACATGGATGTCCTGGTTGCTTTGGGAACTACAACATCCTATATTTATTCTGTTTGTGCTCTTCTGTATGGTGCCTGTACTGGATTTTGGTCTCCAATATACTTTGAAACAAGTGCTATGCTTATAACATTTGTATTTTTGGGAAAGTATTTGGTGTGCCTTGTTTTCTTCACAGAAAAATGAAAGTGAAATTTCTTCTGTTTTTTTTATTTTATACTCAGGCTCAAAACTTGTCAATCAGGGGTGTTTTATATTTCATGAAATCTGCTTGATTAACAAACAAACTTGATTTCTGAATTTTCAAGTATTTTAACATATATTTTTGTTTGTAGGTTATGATGATTATATGTCATTCCTATGTGGTATCAATGATTATATGACATTCCTATGTGCTTGAGATTTATATATATATATATATATGTTTATTACAGGTAACCAGAAAAAATATAAAAATAAATAATTTTTTTTTAAAATACAATCTACATCAGTTTTGAAAACCGATGTAGAAGTATATGTATTTCTACGTCTCCCTATTCTACATCGGTTTTCGAACTGATGTAGATTACCTCATTGAACCGATGTAGATAACACATCTTGTAGTAGTGTAGATGCAACTTGGTGGCCAAGGATGGAATCTTTGGGATTAGTTTGGCTACATCTAGGTGCATGATAAGACCATGCAACCTTTGCCCTCCACTTGGGCCTAAGCCTTTCTAACACCAAAAATAGGTCCAATAGCCACAAAAATTACATCTAGGTTTTTGTTCTCACCCTAATCAAATACCTTAGCCCAAAAATAAAATCCTATGATCTAAGGAACCCCATAATACAAGGATAAAATAGGAAATACAAAAGAAAATAAATCCTATGGCTAAGATACCCCAAAATACAAGGGTAAAATTGGAAATACAATTAAAATAAATTCTAAGACTAAAAAATACCCCAAAGCACAAGGGTAAAATAGGAATAAAATAATAAAACCCTACACTATTCAAAATGGGCCTAGGAGGTGGATCAATATTCCACACTCATGATGAGTATGGCTCTAGGTGTGGTATCTCCTTTATCTTCCTCCATCCTCCTAGCCATGGACCTAGTAATGGGTCCAACTTGTAGTTCCAAGGGTGGCCCTCCATCATTCCCTCCTTCTTGAAGAGGATTTGACCTCAAATCTTGAAGTTCATCTATGTCATTAATTCCTAGAAAAGGTGTAAGATCACAAACATTAAATAATGAACTAACACCATAGTCAGAGGGGAGATCTAAATTGTATGCATTGTCATTAATCTTTTGGAGAACTTGGAAAGGCCCATCTCCCCTAGGGTTGAGTTTTGACATCTTTGAGTAGGGAATCTATCCTTTCTCAAGTGAAGCCAAACCCAATCCCCAACTTCAAAAGTCACCTTTTTCCTCCCTTTGTTGTTATATTTGGCATATATTTTGGGTTCGTTTCTCAATTTGGCTCTTGACTTTCTCATGGTATTTCTTTATAAAATCAGCCCTTGATATGCCTTCTTTGTTAAACAAAGTAGTATTAGGAAGGGGTAGTAAGTCAAGAAGGGTGAGAGGATTAAAGCCATATACAACCTCAAAAGGGGATAGATTAGTAGTCTTGTGGACTACTCTACTATAGGAAAACTCTATATGGAGAAGACAATCATCCCAAGTTTTCTTATTTCCTTTCAATATGACCCTTCACAATGTGGATAGGGATCTATTGACCACTTCGGTTTTCCCATCGGTTTATGGGTGACACGTACTGGAATAGACAAGCTTAGTTCCTAGTTTTTCCCATAATACTTTCCAAAAATGACTTAGGAACTTCACATCCCTATCGGACACAATAGTCTTGGGTAGACCATGCAAATAGCCCCCTACCGCCCCCCGCCGAAACGGACCTTGGTGTAGACCCCTAAATTTATCCGGGTCGGAAATAAAGCTCGAAGACTCTCAAAGACTG